TAAAAAAAAAAAAAAAAAAAAAAAAAAAAAAAAAAAAAAAATACTGATGTCCAGAGCCAACCCCTAGAAATAGATTTCATTCATCTGGGATGGAACCCAGGCACATTAGTCTGTTTTCAATCTCACCTAGTCATTCTAACATGTTACCAAAGGTAAGAAGCATTGCCTAAGGGATGGACTCAGTATAGCTTAAAATGCCAGACAGATCTGAGGCAGATGCCAAGTAGAGAGATTTGAAAACCAAAAGTATACAAAGCATAGATGATCCCATACTGGCTATTTCTGTCTCCAAATAAAGGCATGCAAGAGGAGAGAACCCAAGCTAGGATATGCTTGCTCTGGGTGTCAAAGGGGAAGGTTACCCAAAAGCCGTACAGGAGAGATGTTTAGAGAGGTCAAACAATCTGGAGAAGGTAGTATCTTCATTAAAATGAAATTTAAGAAGAAAAAGTAGGGATTGAGCACATTATCAAATAATTGACATTATTTTCACCATTAGTTTTTTGGGGTTTTTTTTCCACAACCCTGAAGTAGAGTGACTAGTAGACCAGAGCTTCTCACACATTAACAAGCATATATCACCTACTGGATCATCTTTTTAAAATGCAGAGTCTAATACAGTAGGTCTGGAGTAGGGCCTGTGACTGCATTTCTAAAAGCTCCTAGTGATGCCAGTATTTCTGGTCCATAGAGGTAGTCTGCAGTGACAATCTTAATCTTTTCATTTTACCCAATATGAATGAAGCAATGGAATCACAAGTTCTCATTAACTGATAAAATGGTAATACATTATAATATCAAAACACTCCAACATACCATTGTTTACATTACTAAACAAAATGATCAAGTGGTATTTTATTAGTAGAGTAAATAATCAGTGGCACATATTTATATGAAAAATCCACCTCAAATCAAGACCCGGCTGAAAGAAAATTAGGTGAAAGTAACTTGAAAAGATAAGCTTAACAAATATAAACTTACTATATCCTCAAGTTTTACATCAAAAGGTGATTACCACTGGACACTTGCAATAGAGCAGCTCTGGTATTTTGATCAAATAAATTTGGGAGGTTAAGTTACTAAGAGCATCTGAAAAGCAGGGAGTAGCCTTGCAAAAGTAATTTAGCAAACAATAACTAGGAAGCCCGAAGGCACTCACAGTTTGAGAGAAACAGAACTTCATCAAGGCAAGGATGAGTCAAGTATTTCCCTAAGAGCAAGCCAAACTATTTTTTAATGGAAAAAAAAAAAAAAGGTTAGCTAATAGTGTTACTATTCTAGAATCTCAGGGCTCCACTACAAACTGGGAAGCCTGTGTGACAACAAAGAAAACTTTCTCAAAACAATCCAGTGCCTTGGGAACTGTTCAGGTGGTCTGAGTAAGGATGTATACTAACACACACCCCCTTCAAATCACCCCAACATCCTTCACAAAAGCCGATCCACCCAAAACCACCTCAAGATACAATCAAGTTACAATCAATGGTGAATCACTGTATCTTACACCTGAAACTAATTCAACACCATACGTTAACTATACTGGAATTAAAATAAAATTTAAAGATAGCTAAGTAAAAATTACAATCAAGTAAACTTGAAGCATATTCAGATGGTACATTACCACTGTTGGTAGAACCTGTTCTGAGAACCCCCAACAGAGAACATAAATGAGCTTTGTTACAACTAAACCGAAACACCTATTTCTCAAATAAGCAAGGCAAAATCTTGTGGCTTGCATTAATTCGGCAGACTGAACTCTCCACACCGGGCACTCTAATTTAAGTAAGTCAGATTCGGGCCCTGGACACAGGTATAAAACAGACCAGCAATAAACTTCCAGATGATCCTGATGCTCAGAGAGGTTAGGAGTAATGCTCCATGGTTTGTAACAGTGCTTCTCAAACTTCACAGTGAGTATCGTTGGGCGATCTTGTTAGTAAATTATGATTTAGTAGGTTTTCAAACAAGCCCCCAGTAACTGAACCACACTCTGAGCAGCAAGTGCTTATAACCTGGGATGGAAATCCTAGGGCTCCAAATGCCCAGGCACATGAAGTAGAGAGGGGCAGACAGGGGGCCATGTCCCCCTGCATGTATGTGCTCCTTCTAAAGGGAACATCCACTCAGCTCTCCTTACCGGTTTAAGGACCTGCTGATTTATCAGGAAAGTCAGAAGCCCAGGCTTTTATGGGAAATCTCCTGATTCAATGTTCAATACATTAGTCCCTCTTGTCCACAAGGAATATGTTCCAAGACCCTCAGCGCATACCTGAGATCATAGATAGTACAAAACCCTACATACACTAGGATTTTTCTTATACATCCATGCCTCTGGTAAGGTTTAATTTATAAATTAGGCACATAAAAGATTGAAATAACCAATAAAATAGAACAATGGTAACATACTGCGATCAAAGTTTTGTGCACATCGTCCCTCTCAAAATGACTTGTACTGTCCTCACCCTTCTTGTGATGATGTGAAGTGATAACATGCTTACAGGAGGAGATGAAGGTGAATGGCACAGACATTGACATAGTGTTGGCCTACCGTTAACCTTCTGACCTACTGTCAGAAGAATCACCTGCTTCTGGAATGCTGCGGACCACAGGTAACTGAAATCACAGATAAGGAGGGACTAGTATAAGCCAACTCAGTCTAGTCACTGACCTAATTATGTGGACTCTCTCATTCGATCCTTATTATAAGTATTAAAGCCATCTTATCTTAGATAAGGAAACCAAGGTGTAGACAAGAGAGATTAAGTAACTTGCCTAAGATCACTGCTAATAGAGCAAGCATTCAAACCCAGATCTGTCTCACTCAGAGTCCACACTCCCAACCACTAGGTGACATCATGCAGGTGGGTGGGCACAGCAGCCCTCTCTCTGCTCCTCTATGTTCTAGTCTGGGATCCTACTACTCACCCACACTACTACAAGCTTTAACTCATTAATTTGCTCTCTGGTTTCTTGTTCTCACTTTCAGTTTACAGTGACCAATCATCCAGTTTGCCAGAGACTAAAGGTTTCCAAGGACAAGAACCATTCAGTGGTAAAACCAGGACACTTCCTGAGCAAACCGAAACAGTGGCCCTAGTCTTCATTTAGGGTTGTTATTTTTTTTTTTTATCATTATGCTATTCTTTTATTTACAGTAAAACCGAGGCCAAGAAAAGACGTGATTTAATTTCCCAAGAACATTATAATTGGTGGTCAAAAATACTATAAAGGATGTGAAAATATATTGTTAACACTGAGGATTTGTATAACATGTATGCCCTTGAGAAATTTTTAGCACTAATTCATATAGATCCATTTCAACTAAGGTGTTGGTTAATTTTTTTTTTATTTCATTAAAAATATTTATTTTATTTTTTTTTATTTATATATGAAATTTATTGTCAAATTGGTTTCCATACAAGACCCAGTGCTCATCCCAAAAGGTGCCCTCCTCAATACCCATCACCCACCCTCTCCTCCCTCCCACCCCCCATCAACCCTCAGTTTGCTCTCAGTTCTCAACAGTCTCTTATGCTTTGGCTCTCTCCCACTCTAACCTCTTTTTTTTTTTTTTTCCTTCCCCTCCCCCATGGGTTCCTGTTAAGTTTCTCAGGATCCACATAAGAGTGAAACCATATGGTATCTGTCTTTCTCTGTATGGCTTATTTCACTTAGCATCACACTCTCCAGTTCCATCCACGTTGCTACAAAAGGCCATATTTCATTTTTTCTCATTGCCACATAGTATTCCATAGTGTATATAAACCACAATTTCTTTATCCATTCATCAGTGGATGGACATTTAGGCTCTTTCCATAATTTGGCTATTGTTGAGAGTGCTGCTATGAACATTGGGGTACAAGTGCCCCTATGCATCAGTACTCCTGTGTCCCTTGGATAAATTCCTAGCAGTGCTATTGCTGGGTCATAGGGTAGGTCTATTTTTAATTTTCTGAGGAACCTCCACACTGCTTTCCAGAGTGGCTGCACCAATTTGCATTCCCACCAACAGTGCAAGAGGGTTCCCATTTCTCCACATCCTCTCCAGCATCTATAGTCTCCTGATTTGTTCATTTTGGCCACTCTGACTGGCGTGAGGTGATACCTGAGTGTGGTTTTGATTTGTATTTCCCTGATAAGGAGCGACGCTGAACATCTTTTCATGTGCCTGTTGGCCATCCGGATGTCTTCTTTAGAGAAGTGTCTATTCATGTTTTCTGCCCATTTCTTCACTGGGTTATTTGCTTTTCGGGTGTGGAGTTTGGTGAGCTCTTTATAGATTTTGGATACTAGCCCTTTGTCCGATATGTCATTTGCAAATATCTTTTCCCATTCCGTTGGTTGCCTTTTAGTTTTGTTGGTTGTTTCCTTTGCTGTGCAGAAGCTTTTTATCTTCATAAGGTCCCAGTAATTCACTTTTGCTTTTAATTCCCTTGCCTTTGGGGATGTGTCGAGTAAGAGATTGCTACGGCTGAGGTCAGAGAGGTCTTTTCCTGCTTTCTCCTCTACGGTTTTGATGGTTTCCTGTCTCACATTCAGGTCCTTGATCCATTTTGAGTTTATTTTTGTGAATGGTGTGAGAAAGTGGTCTAGTTTCAACCTTCTGCATGTTGCTGTCCAGTTCTCCCAGCACCATTTGTTAAAGAGACTGTCTTTTTTCCATTGGATGTTCTTTCCTGCTTTGTCAAAGATGAGTTGGCCATACGTTTGTGGGTCTAGTTCTGGGGTTTCTATTCTATTCCATTGGTCTATGTGTCTGTTTTTGTGCCAATACCATGCTGTCTT